GGAAAAAGGGGAACCGCGTTGGCCCCACGTACTACCACAGACGCACAAAGAGGCGAAGGCACCAGTGCAAGAAGAGGCGAAGTTGTCATGGCGGGTTTTTGAAACCACTAGTTTGCTGACAATTGTGGAAGTCGGTAAGTTGTGTTATTTTAGCTTGAAAAACTACTCTTTTTCATGTGCTTACTACTTTATGCGTTTAAATTATCATCCCAATTTCGCAATAATGCTATTAGCTTTTATATACTTTTCCTTATTTTTTGTGTTAGAGGTCTCAGGTCTTTGGACTGCTGAAATGAAGTTGGACCCTCGGACAAGGCGGTATGCGCGATGCCCCTGTCATGCTCGAGGCAGAATTCAGCTTTTGTTAAAGTAAAGTAAAGAGCTTTTATTAGTTCTGCTAGACCACCATTACAATTGGAGTTAACTTTACGTAAATGTTACATTTTCCAACTTCGTATTTCCCTCGTTAGCCACTCTTCAATTTTATTGCAAATCACATTTTGGCTAATGTTTTTTCTCTATGCTACTTACAGCGCACAAGCTTGGTATGCAGTGAGTTAGTCAGAGAATTTGTCCTCACGATTTTTTCTGGCGTAAATAATTTTGATAAAGGAAGTGATGCAACGATGTTTCAAAGGCATGGCTGCACTGTCAGCTTCCAAAGAGAAGGCGTATGGAATTTAAATTGCGCTTAACGTACCGAGGGACAGGCACAATCCACAGATATGACTTATTTGGAGTTTTCCCCAAGTCGCATCATTTTAACTTGACCACATTTGAGACTGAGTGCGACACCACATCGAAACGTCTATGGGGAACAACGAATGTGAAGTTTGGATATTGTTCTTAAAAGGGGGATTAAATTTCATTGAATTTTATGAGGCGAAAACAAATGTGGACTTGCCTTTACATTGCTTCTTCAACAATCACCTCCTTCGTCTAAATATTTGATAAGAAGAGACAATTTTTTGGTGAATTTTGCTGGAATTTATTTAATAAAGTGATTGAACTGCTCATTGTGTTGCATCACACGAGTATTATAAACTCCCCTTCTCGTGTCTCCAGGTAGCATTAGCAGAGCGTGGATTTAGAAGAATGTATTTTGAATGTTTAAGGCTGGCGATTCTTGTCGACTCCATATCGATGCTGTTTGATCTTGCCGTGGCACAGAATGGGACTTTGGCATCGCATGCGTCAATCACAACCCCACACGCAGAGTCAGCCTACTGGCACGTGTAGAGCCATGAGTAGAGCCAGCTCAGAGCTTGAGCATCGCACGCGACATCATCTACCTTTCACACTCGTCCTCTCCAACTCAAGGTCGAGGAGTGATGAAGAGTAGAGTTTTGTGAAGCGATCAGACTCGTGTCATGATTGAGATGTGCGGGTGTTAATTTACCGTAAAAGGCTTCCATGACAACCTAACTTGTTTTTAAGAAAGCACTGACACCATTCCTTGGCAAGCAATTTTGTAGCACAATTTATGCAGTCCAAAACAAAGTAGTTGCTTACCCACTTCTAATACGAACAGCTTTGCTCTGCTTTTAGTCCTTGTATTTTATTTTAACAACTCTGAACCCCTTTTGACTGCCAACTAATCAAGTTGAACAGAAAATAGGAAACGACTACGCCTCGTAAACTCGGTTATGAAGTTCCATTTCTCGACCAAGCAATGTCCTGTGTTAGCACGGGAAATGAAAGTAAGCCAGAAGTGACAGAAGGCGCTAGACCTGCAGAAAAACCCAAATCTCGCATTTAGCACTGAAGAGAGAATGAGCATTTCCATAATCACGTGGATCAAGTCAACTTTCACGAAGGTAAAATCCACACCCGAAAATCCGTTGTGTACCGTGTAGTGATACGTAAAAGACACTTTTAACTCGGCTTTGATAAGAGGTCGCTTGGAACTCCGTCATCGCGGCTCTGCCCATCAGCCTGATCTCCAGGCCATGCCAGTGGCCCCCAAGTTCTTTATCTTCCACGTACTATGTCTTCTCTCATCTCTCATGGGGACTTTCAAGGCGTTACACATACTTATGCAGCAGAACTCAAACTTTATTCTAACACTACTTGCAAGTAATTTATGACAAATACTTCCCCACACTAGATCAGAACAGCATTATGGCAGTTTAGACGGGCTGAGATTAGTTGGATACTTGTTAGTAAGGTTGGGCTCGTTGTCTAACGTTCAGTAGTGCTTGAATCACTAACTTGACAGACTGAAGCATCTTCCTTTTAGTCAAACACCTACTCTGATGCCGATCTCATGCGTTCCCAACCACCTTAGCAAAAGTTATTTAATTTGGATTCATGCTAGTCGATTTTTGGTGCATTTTGGTTAGACTGAAATGCATAGTTCGGACGTTGAAACTATGCGCAGCGTTCATACGCTTCCATTCCAGATATCCTACTGACATGCATCAGGTTGGCGCTTATAGAAGTTGAGAGCAAGCAGCACAGATTAAGAAGGTTTGAAAGTGCAAACTGACTTCACTCCTTGGTTTTTGGAAGTTCAACCTTCCTTGGAAAAACTGTAACGGAATGTTTTTACCTACCATATAAGAAGCCTACTTTATTTAGAAGCATAATAACATTGGTAAAATGCCGAGGCAATAGTCTTTCAGCCCTCAAAGGTACCTGAGGCATTTACACTCAATCATAGGAGTTTACGAAGGCGCCGCTTATGTAATGTGAACTTGTTACAGGAAATATTATTGGAGTTGGCGCTTTCAGTAAAGTTACACATGTAAACCAGACATTGAAAGTTTGCGTTTAGGTATAAAACGAAGGTGGATGCTCTCTTTCAGATCATAATTTATTGCGCAATCCAGTGCAGTATTTTAGAATTAACAAGCCTTTGAAAATCCCATCTGCGCTCTGCAATTTTGATGACTCCTTTTCGCATTTGTGTACTTTGTTATGGGCAGAAAAAAAATGAAAGTTGTTCCCAAAAGTTGGTATAACCTTCTTAAAAATTACTGAATGCCTAGTCATATGGTGGGATTGCACGCCGCATTGGGTGTTAAAGCGCACCCATGCCAGTGGTCCCTGTCATAAACGATGACTTAATAATTGGCGAAAAATTGTCAGATCAACTCTTTACATTTCAGCATGGGAAAAATGCGCTACATAACATCTCTAATAGTTTGTGCGGTGTGTCAGACCCTCTTAGCGCGAGTCAACTCCTTCCTCCTCAACTTTAACAAAAACTCTCTAATAGAAGGCCTATGCTGCCACCTCAAAGTTACACATTCTTGAATTCTTTTTGACACAATATTACAGGTCAGCAAAGGCATAAAGTATGCAACCTTTAAAATGCCTGGTAGTATTGCTGGATCTCTTCATATTGAATTTCCTGATTCTGTAATAACCCTTGCTAGTATAATTAAAAAGTGCGGGTGTTTCCATTTAAATGTTAACGTTTGCAAGTCTGCGGCATTTACAATTGTTTGTCCCATGACGATGGGGCAAGCGGTGGCCAACGTCCTGTAGTTCATTCATCCCTGCATAAGGACTATTGTTTGATTAACTCCCAAATGCCCTTGAGTGCAGTCGCTAACTTGCCTAATGTAACAAGGTTACGGAGAGTGGTGCGCTCAGTTCACACAAACACGCCTTGAAACGTAGCAATCTCGTTTGAAATGTATAGTGCTAGAATCTGGCGATGTTCGACATGCATACGAAGTCCACCCATAGAGTCGTCAGTGTTTTACATGCCAGCTCAACTTACAAACAAAAGGCGCCAATGGAGGGAGAGAAGCGCTGACATGGCTGAGGACAGAAGTAAAGGAAAGGCGGTTAAACAGCATTGTGGATTAGATTGTAACAAAAAATTGCAGTCTGTCGGAAGCCGACTAATACTAGTGTCCTTGCAATAAATTGTGTCAAATCCCTAAGTGTAATTTGTATTTGTGATTGCTTTTTAGATGATGGAACAGAAGTGATTACACACGTAGTTAACATGTAAATACCTCAGTGGTCGTGCGAGATGTAAAGGGTCAAAATAAGTTTCATGTCGCCAAGTGTTGTAGGGTTAGATGCTAAGTCAAATGACATTTGCGTTTAGCACGTTACTTATCATATAATAAGACATTGCCCCAACTTTTGCATAAAACTTTGGTTTACCGCATCACGCGAAGCTAACAACAAAAAAATTTCTTTCAAATGTTTACTTATGGTTTATGATTTATACCAAAACATACTTCTCTTTAACGTGATTTCGAATTTTTACCTCCCAGATGGCATTGCGTTACCCTGGGATAGACATCCCCATTAGGTTTAATTATGTTTAGTAGTAGCGCCACCAGTTTGTTCACTTTTATATAAAAAAATCTTTGCCAAAAAGTTTTTCTAGCCATGACGGCTTTTGAAGAAGACGCATTGATTTCACATTTCAAAGGTAATATTACAAAGTGAAAAAAATGATAAAAGGTAGTACAATCTGCAAGGTAAATGCTGTCAGTTTGTGGCTACTTAAAAGGCGTGCTCACATAGCAGCATTGTGGTCATTCAAGCGAACCCGTGGAGCTAAATGCAGGCGGGGGGTTCCTGGGGCTGTCGTAGCCGGGTGGCAGACCCTCAGACTTGTTGAGTTCATCGTAGCCCGGGAGTCTGGGCACCTCATCGGGGAGTCGGAAGTCGGGAGGTGGCGACTGTGTCCGCCGCCTGCGCCTATTTTGCCTCCGACCCACCTCGGGGTCGGTAGGGGCAGCAGCGTCCCCGCTTCGGGCGCTACAGTTGGCTTCCGCGGTGCCAACCGTGGCTGGAGTGGAAGAAGAGTAGTCAACCTCATCCAATGCCTTCCATTTGCAACAGATATCCGCATCCCGAGCGCAGGAGGAACAATGATAGATAAGGACAACCATCTGTACAATCCCCAGCCAGCCAGCAGTGTAGAGAGTTCTCATGTTCACAACCAATAGATGAATGCTACCCGCTCCGGTGAGGATTATGCAAATTACATCAACAATCGCTGCAATAATTAAGACGACTCGATGTGGTTTAGCCGCACACACAAGGGCCATCAGAGCAGCGAGTAAGTCTGTAGAACCAATCCAATACCCAGTGTGGAATTGATTTGGTTGTCGGAATTCGGCGACCAATATTCCGACGGAGAGACACAATATCACTGCACCCACGCAGAAATGCCTTCGACGAATGTCAATTACATTGCAAAGCCTAGAACAACAATGAGAATGAGAGTGAAATTCAGTGTCGGATGTCATTCTCTTCTTGTGCTCGAGCAGGTGTTCGAGCTTATTATATAATTGGTGTGCCGATTGGATGTCACTTAACTGTAAGGCAATTGGGTGGTTTAGTGTAACGTGACCTTGGACTCACATGCGCTTGACTTTTTACTCTAAAGCGGGAATAAAGAGGTGACGGGTGCCGAGTTTTTCAAAAAAACATAATCAACTATGACTGCTCTTTGTAAGCCATGCCAAATTTATTTACATGTCACCAATGACTAAACTTGGGAAGCAGATTTTAAAAATGATAGTCCACATTAAAATTGTAGGGTTTGACGATGCTCAAGACCTGCCAACGCATTTGTCACAAACGTGAACAACTCTATGTCTTTCAGTCCAAACATATCGGTGCTCATACACGTTGGTTAGCGGAAAAATGGGAAGTCCATCACTGTCATGATTTCAGACGATCTCTTGTCGCAGAATTATATCAGTTTAAATTTTTAAAGATTATTCGCATATATGCTTGCAGATTTTGGCCTCTGCACGCTTCAACGTGCTTCCGATCTATCAGTTGGACTTGTGCTGTTGGTAGGGTCTCCATGCCTGTTCACCTATCAGTCACATCTGCGGATGCAAATTCGACTCGCAGTAATCAAAGTCAGGTGGAAATGTGGTCGCCAGTGCCTTTTAGGGTGTATCTTGGCACGTGCAGGGTGTAAATGAAGTGGACTCCAGTTTAAAAACGTATTAACAGTGCGTAGCATCGTGCCTTGGACTTGACACTTCTCTGATACTTAACTCCTGCAAAATTGAAGTCTTATAATTAAATAGGAGAAGTTGTGAAATTCTTTGCTGCTAAATGAATACCACCTAACACTAATATATTGTGTTGGGTGTGTGTTAAACGGCATAAAATCTGGGTCATGAGATGTCGGAAGCGGTTAACGCTACTGAAAACACTTTGAAGACTTAGTCCACTTAAAAATACGCTCTACTTGAGGAAAGTCAAAACATACATCTGTGTTATTTCTTTGCAGTTACATATTTTTGTCGTTACGGGGGCCTTTCTCTCAAGCAAGATTTACATAATGACAACCAACTACCAAATAGCAAGTAGGCATTTCATTTGATTTCAAATTTCCCAACAGTCAATCCAAGCTCACAAATTAGGTTTTATGCACTTTTTAGAAATGGCTGCTAGTCTAAGTTGTCGTAGGGGACA